CCACTGCTGCTGCCACGGTGCCAACCCATCTAATAGGAGGGCTTTCTCTTTTTCCTGACCTTCCACTTTAGCATGATGTCTTTCTCCAGTGACTAGACAATACTGATAATATATACCAAGCATGAGAGATGAAGTCTCATCATCCTGGCTTCCAAGGAGCATCTGGCTGTACTTCTTCCAACAAATACCTGTTTGTTGCTTTGGCAGATCCTGGTACTTCAAATGCATCAATTCTTCTACTGCCTTCCTTATTCATTGTCCAACTTTCACATGCATACGAGGCTATGGAAAATACCATGGCTTGAGTCAGGTGCACCTTTGTCCTCTCAAACTGACATCTTTGCTCTTACACTTTGCTTTTAATGAGGTCTTGTGCAGCAGATTTATCTAATGCAGTTAAGTCGTTTGATTTCTTGACTGCTGTTTCCATCATGAGTGTTGATGGCTAATCAAGCAAAATAACTTCGTTAACAACTTCAGTCTTTTCTCCATTTATCATGATGTCATTTATTGGTCAAATGGTGAAGATTTTTTTTTTCTTTACATTGAGGTGCAACCCATACTGAAGGCTATGGTCTTTGATTTTTAGCAGTATAAGTATTTTAAATCCTCTGCGCTTTCAGCAAACAAGGTTGTATCATCTGCATATGGCAGGTTGTTAATTGGAGGTTGTCTGTCCTCCAATCCTGAGGTCATGTTCTTCTTCATATAATCCATCTTCTTGGATTATGTGCTCAGCATACAGACTGCATAAATATGGTAAAAGAATACAATGCAGGCACACACCTTTCCTGATTTTAAACCATTCAATGTTCCCTTGTTCTGTATGAACAACTGCCTCTTGGTCTACATACAGGCTCCTCATGAGTACAATTAAGCGTTCTGGAATACTCAGTCTCTGCAATGTTGTCCATAGCTTGTCATGATCCACACAAGCAAAAGCTCTTGCTTTTAGCCAAGATCCACCTGATGTAAGCAATGACATCCCTCATTCCACGTCCTCTTCTGAATCAGACTCAAACCTCTGACAGTTCTCTGTCAATGTACTGTTGCAGCTGTTTTTTTAATTCCACTGTGTTACTTCTTTTTTGGAGTGGGCACAAACATGGATCTCTTCCAATACATTGGCCAGCTAGCTGTCTTCCAAATTTTTTGGCATTGATGAGAGAGTGCCTTCAGTACTGCATCAGGGTGTTGAAAGATTTCAATTTGTATTCCATCACATCAATATTTAAGCTATTATACAGTTGCCTATTCTAATTGCTCTAGGAAAAGGGCAATTTCAGCTTCCGCTGCACTGGTATTTTGGTAATTTCCCCCTTAAATGTAAAGCATTAGCAGGATATTTCCATGAATTCTGTAATCTGCTTTTAATGATAAAATATCAAAATTGACTTAATATAAATGCAGTATTTCAAAAATTAAAATAACTTTCCCAAATCAAAACCAACTTCTTATAATACTGACTTAATTTAAATGTAGATGTTAAACTTAAATTGGCCTCATTATTTCTCCAGTCTCAGTAGAAGATCATCTTCAGTTATAGACCAGTTACCCTAGAAGTCTGTTGATCCAGCATCGGCAGCAATGTTATTACATAAACAACACACTGGTTTTCAGATATCTGCAATGTCTTCTCTTCTGGATTTCTTCTCTCTATAAAATACAAAACCCTTCATCCTTTGAACCCCTACTCTCTTCTCTAACCTGTACTATCTCTATTGATTTATTCACCATTCATAATCTAGCTCCTACCTAACCACTGTACTGAAGCTACTCTGGGTGACCTTATACTGCCAAATCCAATGTACACTTTTCTGTCATTTTGAGTCTTGACAACATGCAGAATTATTTTTAAAAAATTTTTATCTTTAATCCTGGTATGCAAAGTTCCTACCCTAGTTGTTAATTTCAGTAATTTTTAAATTCTATTTTCACTCCATTTGAATGCCTAAAACCTCTTTGAGACAGGACCTAAATACAACTCTCTCTTAGAATATATCCTTCTTATAGTGCCTTTCTCCACTTTCCATCCTAGCCAGAAAGCTGGGAGTTACTCCATGCCATGCTCTGATTCACTCTGCACATCTGAATACAGACTATGTCCTATAGTTCCTTTGTCTCTCTCTCTCTCTCTCTCCAACCTTCCCATTTCTCACCAATAACAATGCCACTGTTTAGATCAGGCTCCATCACTCTTCACCTTCCTATTGGGTCTCCTTGCTTGTCACAGTCTACTTTAATTCATCCTCCGTAGTGTTGCCAAATTGATTTTCAAAAGGAATTTTTGTCTTTTTTTTTTTTTTTTTTTTTTTTAATGACCTATAAAAGATTCCCTAAAGAATCAGGATGAAAGGCCAAATTTCTTGGCAGAGCATGTCAGATCTGGATCTCCTCCAGTCTTTTCTCCTGCCATTTCACTGCAGGCACCTTATGATGCAACCATATGGAACTGCTTGCAGTTCTCCAAAAACACAACTCATCAACGGAAACACACGAGGAAGAAAATTCTAAGACTGGCAAATAGAAATTGTGATATCAAATTATTCTTGAAAACACTGTCTATTTACTCTTCCCCTATTTCCATGGTTGAATTCTCTCTTCTTCTTTCAATTCCTATCCATATGACTGGTGCTGCTTTATTTGAGACACAATGAATTAAGGCTGTATAATGAAGAAGCTTTCAAAATAAGGGCTTACAAGTTAACTGATAAGATAATAATCAATGAAGTATAAACTATGTGAAGCTCAGATATTATGTTGTTGTTATGTGCCGTGGAGTCGGTTCCGACTCATAGTGACCCTATACAGGGTTTCCGAGGCTGTAAATTTTTACAGGAGTAGACCACCTCATCTTTCTCCCACGGAATGCTGGTAGTTTCGTACTGCTGACCTTGCGGCTCACAGCCCGATTCGTAACCACTACTCTACCAGAGCTCCTTACATTCTACTATTTAAAAAAATTAACATCACTGAAAACAAAAACTGAATTAGGGCAAACCAAATGATCTTATAATAAGTCTGTCCTTAGAAGACCATTACAGTTTGTGGTTTTATCAGTGTAGACCAAGACTGTAAAACCATGGCAGACTGAGGAAAAAAATCTTTATATATTCTCAATTATGCTTTTTTGTTCTGGTATCAGAAATCTTCAGTATTTTCTGAACATCGATAATGTAAGAAAACTACATTAAGATGTGCCTTAAAACAGATTCTCTAACTCCTTTTACTTTAAAAATATTCTAAGACATGCCTTTTAAGCAGCTAACATTCAAAATATTAATAATTAATCAATTACTGCTATAAGGGCATCTTAAATTCTATGTAAGTTTAGTCAAAGTTAGCTGAACCGAGCTTGTAATAAACAGCTGAATTTTATGCATTCTGATTTTTCAAGGCCTAGAAAACAGATTATTAAACCAAAGCCAACCCACTGCTGGAGTAGACCCTGACTCACAATGACCCTATCGGGCATAGTAGACATGCTCCATAGAGTTTGTGAGGTTGTCAATCTGTACGGAAGCAGACTACCTCACATTTTTCCCACTGAGTGACTGATGGCTTTAAACCACTGACTTTGTGGGATCAACACTTAAACCACCGGGGCAACCAGGGCTCCTTTAGGCTTATTTGAGAACTAAAATTAAAAAATCAATTCATGAGTCATCTTCACTGGAGAGTAGGTCAAGATGTTCCCCTGCCATTTGCCATAGAGATTTTAATTTTGACATTTCATGAAGTAGACAGATTGTTTTCTCAAGTCTTTCTCTTTGAATGCTACACTATTAAGAAAGGAAAACGGAAAGAAAAATGTGAGCAGTGGAAACAGGACTGTAATACTGAATTAAATACCAGTTGGTAAGTACCACCCTTAACCTTGTTCCTAGACTGGTTTACTAATGAGTATTCATGTAAAAGTTCTGATCACCAGGTAGAAACTATTCAAAGAAATGAGTAGAAATGAGTCTGTATTTCATTTTTGAAAATCTCAGGCATTTCACTGGCAATAATAATCTATATAGTATACACATACCAATTGGATTATCAAGGGCTTATATATATGAGATGGCTTCAAAAGTTTGTGGAAAATGGAATTAAAAGATAATGGAAATTTTCCGTGAACTTTGTGAAGTCCCCTCGAATATATTTTTTAGATAAATAAAACAATGTGAAAATAATAAAACTTAGTATTGTTGTTGCTGTTATGTGCCGTGGAGTCAGTTCCGACCCATAGCGACCCTGTACAGGGTTTCCGAGGCTGTAAATCTTTATGGGAGCAGAAAGCCTCGTCTTTCTCCTGCGGAGCAGCTGGTAGTTTCGAACTGCTGACCTTGCGGTTCACAGCCCAATTCGTAACCACTATGCTACCAGAACTCCTTAAAACTTAGTACACTCACTCAAAATAAACTACCTTTGAAGTGATTTCAACTTATAGAGACCCTACAGAGAAGTTATAAATCTTTATGGGAGCAGTAAGCTTCATCTTTCTCCATGGAATGGCTGGTGGGTTTGAACTGCTGACCTTGCAGTTAGCAGGTCAGTGTTTATCCTATAGCACCATCAGCATATAGTATAGGTCATGAGATTTAAAGATGTAAGTTGCTCTTTCCTCTTAGAAATTATCCCATCTTTGCTGAAAATGCATTTTTATATGTTAAAAATAAAATGGAATTAAAGTGAATGATAGCAGGGAAAAGAAAGGATAAATTTTATTGAGAGAGAGAGAGAGAGAAATAGAAATGAGTAAGGCGGGGCTATTGCTTTTCAAACTGCTTTAAAAATATGGGCTGGCTGGCAGGTTCTGACATTTCCTTTTAAAAGGTATGATAGAGGGGCATAAGGCAAAAATTATTAGGTACTAGCTATTAAAAATGAGCTAAATATTATCTCATTTATTAAGCTAATTTAATAATTTGATCAGTCTTAAGTACTCAAATACCTACAAGCAACATTTAACATATTAAGACTAGAAAATAAAATCATAATTAAGTGCTACTTACATTCCAAATCGCAAGGTTCCAGAAACATATGTTTGCCAATGTGCACAATAGAACATGAATGTCCCAGCAAAACAACAAAAAAACATCCAATCAGGGTTTGTCCCCAGCTGCACCGCAATACAAGTTCCAAGAACCACAAAGACTGCAGAAAAAAGATCACAATGAAACAGAACAATCTAAATAACAACCCTTAACTAAGCTGGAAAAGATGTTAGATGAGGCAAACAACGAAATATGCTATGAATATACCATCAGCTCTCAGGTATTATAATAATAGGAAAGTTAGATATAATCCTGACACTACCTTTCTATCCCATATTAATTTTTTTTTTTCCATTAAACCATTTAGTGGAACCAAAGTCCTTGAAAGAAACTAAAACTATTAGAGAATTTTTGGAGTATTTCCAAACTTAGTGAGAGTGGCAATAATGAGAAATAAAAGTTAAAAGACACAGAAGCTAGAAGGAAAGAAAAACAAAGGACATGGATAATCAATCCATAAAGTGACCTACTTGCTTCAGACTGATAGTTTTTTTAATGTTTTATTGTGAATTATGGGATAGTTTACATGGGAGAACATTAGTTTTACATTCATCCTAGTGTATATCGCTTCATTGCCATGGTTACAATTCCCTCTATGCATCATCAACCAACCAAAGGGTATACCTTACAAGCCTGCCCCCCCGCCACCACACAGTCCCTTCTCCCTCTCTGGGTCTAAAGTCCCCAGCAGCTCCATCTCTCCATGTCATCGTCTCTGCCTCCATCTCAGGCATCACTGTTTCTCTGGGTAGGGTCCCGCTCTCCGCTCTTCTCCCTTGATGGTCCCAGAGACCTCCGCACCTAGACTGCAAAGTTCATCACTCCCCTCCTTGCTACAAAAACTCTACCTTTACATTTCCAATCCTCACAATCAGTCTTGATAACAATAATTCATTATTTTCATTACTGTGTCACAAGAGACCTATCCGTATTTCATCAGCTCTGCCTAGACATATTGGATACTACTCAATGGAGATTCTACCTTTCCCCATGCCCTCTACATCTAGGCTCCCTCTTGAGAGCTTGTAAGCCAGTCACTTCTTGCCTTTGTAGCCCCCTCCCCCACCACTTTGGGTAGCTAATGTCCAAGTTGCCCATCCCTGTCTACTCTGTGTATGGAGGGGGTGGGAATGATCCTTGCTGTAAAGATTTGTTCCCTATTTTGAACTACTGCATCCATAGGTGTAGGTCAAGTTCATCAAATTGTATCAGATGACTCTTTTTTTTTTTCCTTTTCTTTATTCTTCTGGTTGAGCTCTGATCATCAGTCATTGAAGCCAGGTCAAGTGGGTATTAAATGCAAGTGAGGGTGTTCTTAAGTCTATGCCCTCTCTTCTTATCAGCTGGATGCTTCACTCTCCACTCTAGTCCTCTGTGGCTATGTCACTGACTCTGGGCTCAAGAGTCCCCAGGTCTTGCCACACTGCTGGTCAACCAGGTCTCCACCCAGGTTCACAGGAGTCTGTTGAATGTTGTAGGTCTTAGCCCACAGCTTCACTGTTGTTTTTCCCTCATGTCCCCTTATCGGTGATGAACGTAGTCACCAATCAGAATGTGTATTCCCATTGACTCTTAGTCTTGGGAGGAGAGTTGTTTTGTTGTTGTTGTTAAGTGCCATCAAGTCATTCTCGACCCATAGTGACCCTATATAGGGTTTCTGAGGAGCAGCTAGTGAGCTTGAACCACTGACCTTGGGGACCAACCTGACTTTGCAGTCCAGCGCATTAACCTACAGTGCCACACCAGGGCTCCAGCAGATACACCATTATGGGTGACTTAATAAAAGTTTGACTTGAAATGCAAATTGTTGTACAAATATGACTGTCCCTTAAAATAAAAAAATAGGACACCTGTCATTCTAAAGTCATCTGTTAAAGGATAACAGTCTTTCAAGATAGTGTGCTAGCATTTACTCATTGGATGTTTTAGAGTTTCTTGACTTGAGTTTAGCTGCTACCGCTCTAAGCAAGCAGGTAACTTGGATATTAAAACCATGATTTTAACAAGCACCTACATATAAAGTCAGGAAGTAAAACTATCATGCGGTCTTGCTAGATTCTTTTTAGATATTTTAAATAGCATGCCAAAAGAAAAGAAACCAACTGAGGAACAAAATTTAGTAGACAGTGAGAAATCTGTCAGGAATACTAATTAGAAACTGCCATTTAGTCTCAAAATCTTCTTACCCTCTAAAATATATAAAAATATTACTTTTAAAACTTGCCAACATTTACCTAAGGACAAAGTTGAGAAGGGATGGGAAGGTAGGCGCAATGACAAGGAGGAAATGGGATAACTATGGTTACATGGAGACTACAATCATTGAGATGAAACAAATTGCATGATTTGTTGAATGTAAAACTGATGATCTTGTCTGCAAACTTCATTTAATTCACAGAAAATTTCACAAATTAACAAAATGCCAACAGTGCAAGTAAAGACATATGACTTAAGGACAGTTAGCTCATCTACTGCTAGCACTTTTGTGTACTTTGTTTTTAGTCTTTTGTATCTAAGCATATTATCAGATGATGTTGTTAGGTACCATCAAGTCAGTCCCAACTCACAGTGACCCTATGTACAACAGAACGAAAAACACTGCTCAGTCCCATGTCATCCTCACAATTATGTTTTAGCCCATTGTTTTGTCACTGTGTCAATACATCTCTTTGGGAGCTTTCCTCTTTATTGCTGGCCTGGAGAAGACTCATTAACCTGC